TCTGATTAGAAAAGGAATAAAGAGAGTGGCATCCTCAGAGTAAAAAACCAACTCAGTTAATTCTGCAACTAGTAAAAAGGAAACGACTAAGAAATCTTCTAAAGCTAAGCAAAGCATATTCAACTAAAAAAAAAAAATCATCAGCAAATCAAAGCTTATACAAATATAAATCCTGGAGGGGGCCAAGTTCCATCCCTCGCCTGGAGCAGAACTGGACAGCTTCAGCCAGGATTCTGGATTAGTCAGGAACAATAGAGGAGTAAAGGAATTGTAGAATCATTGTAAAGGAGTAAAGGAATTGTAGAATCAGAATTAAGGAAAGGCATGAACACACACACACACACACACACACACACACATTTCCAAAGGGAAAGAAGGGGGCATAGTGAGGAAATCTGGAGCACAGCAAGACAGAAGAAACCCAGCAGGCAAACTCCAAATCCTGTAGCTCCATATTTGATGTCAAGGGGTTTATATGGCCCTTCTTATCTCCCACTTTTTCTGGCTTTCTTGATTACAACACACTTCTCTCTTGACCTGTCTCCTTGTCTAAAAGAAGGTTGATGGCACCTGAGGAAGAACACAGGAAGCTGTCTGTCTTCTGGACTGTCCCACAAACCTCTGTGCAGGTGCAACTACACAAATGTGACCATGCACACAGGCAGCCCAAGTCCTTAAGTATTAAATACTATTCCTTTTCTGCACGCAAAAAAGATAAAAAGCCACAGCTAAACAAATGGAAATGGCTGTACACTCTCTTGTTCTTAACTGAATATTAAATGATTTATGCTAATTGTCTCCAATTCATTTTATTTAGCTCAGTGACTATGGCTGTCAATTTAGTCTGTTGTATGCACTGTGTGAATGGACCCCCAACTATGCTGCCATCATTCTGGCAAGAAATCTGGTACATGACAGAACAAGCATAGATTGTAAATTCACTAGTTAGGATATGGTGTCTCCAACTATTGAGAGCTTCAATATCTATTAATAAATTGTCACAGAGAAGAACTGCTCACAAGAAGGATTGATAACATAAAAGTGAAGTTTCGGTTTTTTGTTCTTCTACAGTCTTTTAAAGCCTGCCATGAAATGTTTTCACCATTGACATCTAACTCTCTATACCTGTAAGCTAAAATAAATTCCTCCTTAAGCTGTTTTAGGTCATGATATTTTATCACAGCAACATAAAAGCAACAAATACCACACCTGATCCACTTAATTAGCCTTTCCTTTAAATGATATGCATAGATTATCTGTTAAACTACATATGCATTACACATAAATAATCTCAGCGGCCATCTCTTTATTGTAGCCATTCTAGATTTTTACTGAGATCAATGGCCATTAGTTTCACATAGAACTTAGTGATTATTTTTGGGATATCCATTAACTAGCCACTGACAAACCCAAAGACTCAGTTTATTCAGGCCCTGAAATTTTAGGCTTTCTTCTACTATGAGCGGCCCAATAGTTTATAGTCACTGTCAGAGTGACATAGTCCCATCCTATATAGTCTGGCTTTAAGAAGAAAACCTTTCTGATAGGCTAGGATCAGATAGAAGGGGAAGAGGGCCTCCCCTATCAGTGGACCAGGGGAGGGCCATAGGAGGAGGACTCTAAAATAAGTATCTTTTACCTCTGCCAAACGTAAGTATTTGTTAACTATAATGGATTAAAAGGGAATCAAGACTGGGAAGAGCCAGCTCTCATTTCCCGGGTAAATTCTGGCTTTGTCAAATTATGCAAAATAACCCCTGGCTTACCACATACTAAAAAAATTAGACGTGCATTTAATTTTCATAATTATGCTGTGATAATTTCATTTACTGGTTCAAAAAATACTAAGAGAACCTCTAGGTGCTACACACTGGGATTAGAAATGTTATTTGCCAGAGAGGAACACACAATTCAATTACAGTTAAGTGCCATGAAGGCAACAGAAATAAAAGTTCCAAGTTGCTTGGGAAAAGCTTCCCTAAGGAAGGGACATTTGAGGTGAGACTTGAATGGTGAGAAGAAACTAGTCATGTGATGTGTCGGAGGAAGAGCACATAAGGGAGAGGAACAAGTACAAAGACAATTATTCACTAGTGATAAAATTCTAAACCAATAAGAGTGAATTTATCTGGCAGGAGTTACAATCCGATCTCCACTTACTGAGCTGCTGTGAGTCACTCAACTGTCAAGTTATGGCTTATGTGCTGCTTTATACCAGATCTACAACTCTGACATTGGGATTCTGAAAATGTAAGCAATCCAAGGGTCTGTCCATTGAACCTCAGCTGTTCTGTAGAAAAGTTAAATGTACAGGACCAGCTTCTAATAGGGAGAGCAGTATTTTGTATCTTTGTTCCTTTAATTAGGTTCCATTATGGAGAAATATAGTGACACTGTAAATCTAGTGGAAAGACAAAGGACTCATGAGTGAGAAAGTTCAAAGTCTGCCACTCACTTAGACATGCAGCTTTTAAGGCAAACCAAACTCTATGACCTTGTCAGTATCTGAAAAATGGGATATCATTTGTCTGTCTACCCAACTACATTTCCTGGGAGTTCATGACTACTGTCTAAGAACTTCTAAACTTACTGTGGAGAACCCTATATAAAACATGTTGGAAACAATGTATTTTATTTTACAACTGGAATAGACATCTAATGGTTTTGTCTAATCTCTCTTTAAGAGAGAAATCACATCTCCAAAATGACTGTCTAAATATATTCTGACACAACCAATACAGTGCCTAATTTTCTAAATATTAGTTTAGCACATTTTTCACAAACAACATTTTTAAAAATCATCTCACCTTCAATGCAAAGTCTAACTCTTTTCTAAGTTAGAACTTTTCAAAGTTCTAACTCTTTTCACTCAAGTACAAGGTTAAAAACTGAATGACTTAAAGTAAGTACCCATGTTGATTTCTCAGGCAGAGAACGGATATAATTTAACAGCAGAATTAAAACTTGAAAGCGAAGAGCCAGAATACTCAGAATGCAATGATAGAAAGCATCACTGTCTTAGGAATCTGTGTCTACCAATGAGTTCACATCATGTCTGGAGCTAGAGTTTTTTAACTCTCTTTGTGCAATGCTGGCTCCTTTACATTGTTATTTGAGAAATAAACAATGTAGTTCTCTTAACTTACTATGGTGTCTTTTGTGGTGCTGGGATTGAAGACAGAGCCTTAAGCACGCTGTGCAAGAACTCTAATGTTGAGTTACACCCCAAGCCCTTATTTTCTTATTTTAAAAGGTGATATACTTGTCCATACAAAACACGGAAAACATGTAAGATAGTTTTCATGTTGGGTCATCTTCCTGATTTTCTATTTCTGATTTAAACTAGAGGTGGAATGTAAGCTGAAAAATAGCTACTGGGTGCTCGTGGTGCATCACTGACTATACAACAACCTGCTTAATCTGCTCAAATACAGACTATAATGGAAATTACGTAATGGTTTCGACAATAGAAAGGCCTGAATTAAATAAAGAATATGAAAATAAACTAGGCACTAACATGAAACAAATTTCAAAAATGCACCAGTTTTAGGCTGAGAGCATCAAATTGATTACTGTCTCCCTTAGCTATTTGTAGGCCTCAATGAAGCAAGAATGTAAAAGCTTTAAAAAGTAGTGTGCAAAACTAAGGTTGCAAAATCAAAGCAAGTAAGTTCATGGAAGCATGTGGTAGACCATGAAGTACAAGTTATTATTATATAACAATTTGTAGTCTACAAGGACCACAATTCACCAGAGTACACGTAAACACTTATTTAAAAACTGCGATTCTTGTATACTGACTCACTGAAGTTCTAGTCTTAAAAAAGAATGTTATCCATGAAAGCTGGATCAACTACCAACTTCTGAAAAAAGGAATTTATCTTGGGTTTAACTGGGGGGAAAACATAAAATGTTCTCCTCTTCAAAAACAGGCCTTCTTTTAGCATGTGACCTTAAAGCAGGTCAACCTTCCTGTCTGGAACTTTGTTTTCTAACAATATGTCAGACACTATGGTGGACTTTCTGCACACACTGCCTAAGTGGCTTTGGCACACTGATAAAGTAGCAATTACTCCCATCTAATAGTTAAGGAAACTAACACTCAGAGTAGTAGGAAACCAGTCACACAGCCTATCTCACACTGAACCTTCCTCTTCCCAGCACACTGCTTCTAAGATAATCAGGTTCTCACTGAACAGTGATCTCGAAAGTTATTTGTGATAAAAAGATATGACTTAGAAGGCCTCTAAGGTAAAAATGTACTTGTTGGGTTTTAATTAGCTTGCAAGTTTCAACTCCTTAACACAATACTTTAAAAATTTTAAAGTAAAGACAATCCAGAGTCTAGATTTCAAAAAACCCCACATTATGGTACAAAAAAGGCAAAGTGCTTAAAAAAACAAAACAAAACAAAACAAAAGACCAAGTTCATAGTAACTGCACAAAAGTGTTTCTAACCAAAGTTTATACGAGTTCTAAACTGCATTTTAGATGCAGGTACACACAGTTTTTATTTTGTAAATATTAAGACTCTTAGAACTCTGACCCTACTGTGAATTTCAAAATAGGTGATGTATTGAAGACACATTGAAACGTCTGTTCTTAAATTCCAACTAAAGATTTAATTTATTCGGTTTTTCAAACAACGATTTCTGCCACTTGAAACATCTTTTCACGTTAAAGAGTTAAACTTCATCTACATTAGCCCAGTAGTAGGCAGAACTCCTCTACGGTATGAGGAAAGAAGAATCCCGGACCAGGGAAAGCACCGTGAGACCATTTCTTGGCCAGCCTGCCCCGAGCATCCTCTCGTAGCCCACGTACACCACGCTGGCCTTTAACATCAAGGCCAGCGAACTGCTCAACCTATTTACGGATAACTGAATGGCGGACCACAGACGGCCTCCGGCAGTCACAGATCCAGACCACGAAGCCCCCCGGGAAGCAGCCTCCCGCCCCGCTCCGAGGCGCCGCGGGGCTGCGGGCTTGGCCTCGCTCACCTCTTCCACTTCGATCTCCTTGTAGTCGATCTCTTCGAAGTTGAGGACCTGCGACGGCGCTTCGATCATCTCACTGGCAGAAGACGAGGAGGAGGACGAGGCGGCGGAGGCTGTCGACATGGTCCCCCGCGGCGCCCGGGGGGCCGCACGCGCGCACCTCCCTGCAGCCCGGAGCCCCGCCGCCCCGCCGCCCGGCGCTCCGTGGCGCGGGACCGACCCGGGCCACCGCCGAGTCCCGGCTTCGGCTCCTCAGCGCTTCCGTCGCCGGCCCCGCCCACCGCACTTCCAGTTCCGGTTTTAACTCGGAACTGGGAGGAAGGAGGAGGCTTGCGGAACCGGAGCGGGGAGTCTGGGGACCGGGAGAGAGAGAACAGGCAGCTTAGGGGCGGGGCGGAAGAGGGCGGTAGCGGAGCTGCGGGCCTGTGACAGGAACAAGTTCCGCGAGACTTATGTTCAAGGGCCTCAGCGGCGGGGTGATCCCGCGAGACCTGGCGTGGTGACGTCGTGAAAGTGCGCGGACGGAACTGGCGTGGAACAAGTCAAAAGGCCGCTGGGTTGGTCCCGCAGGAATCAGCGGGAAAGATGAAATCTGTAGTGTTTTGTCTCCCCTCCTCCCCCCCCCTCCCCTCCTCTCCCGTTCTCTCTCTCTCTCTCTCTCTCTCGATCTCTCTCTCTCTCTCTCTCTCTCTCTCTCTCTCTTTCTCTCTCGATCTTTCTTTCTCTCTTTTCTTTCTTCTCTGGTCTGAGCCATCTTGCAGACAGGCAGGGTAGTGTTTGGGCTACTGAAGGAGCTTTCAGTATTGCAGCGTGTTTCCGCGGCGTGGCATTTGCGGCATTGTGTCTGTTATTGTGAACTAATTCCTCAGCTTGTGAGGGATTCGGAAAAAAATCAGTCAGTCGGAGTAACACCATGAAATGTGAGTGCTCACAGCAGTTAACAGTGTAGTGTAACACACTTAAAATCTTTACACAAATCATAAGGTAATTTTAATGGCCTTTGTCACCGAAGCTGTAACCCACGGCAGCCGAAAAAGTCTGTTTTGAGTGACTTTTCCTCGTGCAAAACTAGATCCTTGGACACTGTAAGGTAAAGAATTTTACAATACGAAGCAAAGCTGGAGAAGAGTCACGCTTCATTGTCCTTGCAATGTTATGTACAGGATTCTGGTGACCTTTGAAGGCATTGTCTTTGAAGGGTTGCTAAGGAATTTAAGGGAGATCATAGGATGGTTCCTGAAGAGTACCTAACAAGATTACAATCCCTGTGGTAAAACCCATGTTCAGGTTGCTTGAGTTAGGATAACTTAATGAGAAAAGAAGTATAGTCTTGTTTGTTAGAGTCCCAGAAAGTATCTAGGAGGGTACTAATGCCATACTTGAAGAGCATATCAAGATTCATTGCTACTTTAACATAAAATTTCTTGCTTTTGTGGTGGCAGTCTTTAAACTTAGTGAAGAGCTTCGGCTTCTGAGTGAGGGGCTCCTTTCCCTTTCTATGTTCCTGTAGTTTTTCCTTTTCTGCCTCAATGTTAGTACTGTATGTTTATTAAAAACAAAACAAAACAAAAAAAAAAAAAAACTCAGCAAGAGCTTTGTGATTCAAGTTTGAGTCTCACAGTTTAGGTCAGAGCACCCCAGGATGGAGAGTATTATCCACGTTGTATGACCAACGCAATTTTTAGTTTAAGCTAGGTGCTGGATTTTAGTTGATTTGACTTGAAACCAGTGGGAACATTGGGATTAGACTTAGTGCCCATGTATGAACTCTTGAGACTGTCAAGCCCTAAGTTTACTAGCGGACACTGGAATTGGGATGGGGGTTAGGGATGCCAATTTTATTACGTGGGAGCTTTCCAACAAAAGAGCAGCCTGCCAAATAGATGCAAGTAGAAGTATGTTAGACAAGCTTGGGGTGGCAAGTAGGTGACTGCATTTGACAACAAGCCGTTGTGATTTATTGTTGTTATTTTGTAAATCATAGTAATGACTGTTAAGCAGATGACAAAGAATAGTTTCCTCCTGCTGTACACATTGTCTAGATAATTTTACCCCCAGTTTTGGTCTTCAATATCATTGTTAAGACACTGACTTCAGATGTTTTCTGAATACTAACATTTACTGAGTTTTGGACTTGCTGGATGTCTGTAACTACCTATAGATGTAATATAAAGGCCTAAGCTTGAATATCAGACTGGTGGTTCGCCTAATACTAACCTAAGTGAATTATGAAAAAATTCATCATTTTTTATGAAAAGGTGAGTGACTGATACATAAAATTAATTAGTCCTGAAATAATTATTTAATATTTTACTTCCTTGGAGTGTGATAATGAGAGAAATAGGTGTCCAGCACAGATGTTCAATCCTAGTGACTAGGAGAATTTGTCACAGAATAGCATAAATGCTGACTAGCTTACACTTGAAAGTGGAGTCTGCCTCAGACTGATAAGTGGTTGAAGAAGAACATGTATTAATGAGCTCTGGTGAGCAGTTTGGAGTGCCCACACCAGAGGATGTGGGCACTTGTGGTGTAGTTTAAACCCAGAGGAAGAGGAGAGGGGTTAGAGGTTAGCTTTGCTCAGACCACCGTATTCTGGTGAAGAGAATGTTATTAAGGTAGGATGGAATATATATTTTTAACCTGTTTGTTATCTTGATTTGGAATGTATGTTTAGATATTTAGTATATTGGCCTCTGCTTGTACTCTTCTTGCTCTGGGCCCCTCAAATGTTAGGTTCTTTCTCTCTCTCTCTCTCCTCTCTAATTGTGTGTGAGAGAGAGAGAGAGAGAGAGAGAGAGAGAGAGAGAGAGAGGTAGGTCTGTTCCTAACCTGTGCTGGCAGGTTATAGGTCAACTTGGGTTTCATTTTCTGAATTTCCTAGAAGTGTCTACCTTATCACTTGGGTCTTAGCTTAGTTCTTCAGAGATAATGATGTGTTTCCTTCAGTTCTCTATCCTTTCACTTTCTATCCATTACTATTTTATTTGTACATATTCAGCTGTCTGCCACTTTTAATTATTTTGTTTCTGGTTTATTTTATGTTTTAGTCTTCTCAACCTTACCATCTTAGTTAGAATTAACTCTCCCATTGACATAGTGTGTAATCACCTGGAAAACATCTCCATTGAGTAATTGCCTTTATCAAGTTGGTCTGTGAGGCACTGTCTTTATTGATGTTGTGGGCAGTGCCGCTTCCTAGGCAGGCAGTCCTGCCTAGGAAAGTTAGCTAAGTATGAGCCAGGGAGCAGAGCTAACCAGAAGCAGCATTTCTCTCTGGCTCTTATCTGGATTCCTGCCCTGACTTTCCTCAGTGATGCATTGTGACCTGGAAGTATAGACCAAGTAAACTCTTTCCTCCCCTAGGTTGCTTTTGATCCAAGTATCTGGTCACAGCAACAAAAGGAAAGTCTTGAGCACCTGCTGATAGGATTTAGCTTAGTACCTGAAGTTCAATATAGAAAGTGAATGAGTATAGTTCCTAATAAAGACTGTGTTAATTTATTTCACACATAAAAGTTGAGTTAACCAATTATTATCTATAACATCGTTGGGAGAAGACTTAATAGGTAGATAAATTGATGTGTAGTTAGCATACCAGTATTTTCTAGTGAAGATTTGAGTTTAAACTATTTGAGAGTTTTGAAAATGCTTCCTCTCCTAGCAGGTAGCTTTCCTATGTTAGCAGCCAGGTTAGGGTGCTTTCTCTTCCTAGAGTTTCCAAGGTTAAACTAGATCTTCTTCCTGAATACCAATGTTATTTTGATAGATTGTTTGCTGAAGTTTATTGTTATTGTGTCATTAATGATTGTTTTCAAAAATAACTAGTATTTTAACTAACACTATTACTTTCTGAGCTTCCCAGCAAGCAGCAGCAGCATCCTGTAGCTCAACATCATCATCTTTTAAAGGTAGAAAGCTACACCAATAGGAGCATGCTTTAGGAAGGACAATAATCTTCACGGAAATAGTACTTTTTGTTAAAAATGCATTCATTAAATGTCTTATTCCACAGGCTAATATGTCAAGTAAATGCTTTAGATGATCTTTCTTGGAAGAAACTCCAGAAGCAGTTTGGCTCCGTTTTCAGGGATAAGTAAGGGTGTTTCATCTCACACAGCCCCAGGGATTCACAAATTAAAACTCTCCACTTTAGTAATGCTGTCCACTATTCATTGTATCAACATACAGCATCCCCCACCCCCGCTGAAGTCACAGTCTGGTAAGGAATTGGAGTGCTTGAGACCTGCAAGGCAGAGCAGCCCACTTTGTATTCTTGTTCCTAAGCAGCCCATTTCCCACCTCTGCTTCTCCAGCACCCCACAGAGCTGCTCTCAGTGGTGAGAGGCTTCACTGAGTAAGAGATTCCCATTTGAAAGTCGTCTCTGGAAGCTGAAAGTGCTCTAAGAGGAAAGTGAACTATCGACTGTTAATCAACTCAATTATATAACACACTTCACACACAATATAGGGAAAGTAACAGAGCCTTTTAATTATGCCCAGAGGCATTCAAGTAGTTAAAAGAAATAATCTAACTGGAGAACCAGCCCTAAACAGTGTCTTATTTAGATTTTCAATATTCACGTCTTCTCTCACACTTGAGGAGTTCGGGGAAGAAATACTGGTATTCAGATGCTTAAGGAGGAATTGGAAGTGGAAGAAGAAACACAGGAAATGAAATGATGGCATGCTTTCCTTAATGGGATTACTAACCTAAAGTGCAGAAGACAACCTCAGTGTGGATTATTAAAGCCATGCAGCTCTAATACGAGCCTATAATTGGAAAAGAAAATCAGGTAAACTCGTAATATACGAAGCCAGAATAAGTATGCTAAGTATCAACACTATTGAGCTATGCTTATTCCTATCAGTATTAAATGTTTTCTTAGGAATTATAGAATTAGTAGGAGCTACAGCAATTACGCTAAATATTAAATGTTTGTCTAAATCTTTTAATGTATAAGAAGTGGTATGTGAAATTAGTACATTGCTTCAAAAATTTATGTGGCATTTGAAAATCTTAACATGCTGTTTCTATAGAGAAGCAGAAACAGGTGGCAGAGTTCAACAGAAAAGTCTGCCACATCCTGTCATTGAGTTAGTATTCTTACAGCTTCTCATCCATGTCCCAGCAGCTTTTTAGATTTTATAGCCCAGTCAAAGCTAACCCTTGAGGTTGCATAACAGCTGTAGCCATAATATTTATTTTATTAAGTAATTTGACTGTTATTTTGAAGAATGAAAATTTGCTGATTATATTTTAA